GGAGGGAGATTTCCGGTGAAAACATGGGTGTTATGCATCTAGATAAAATTCTCTCCTGCCCCCTTCCTCTGAACTGGAATGGCCCTCTGCGAGGTGCTCTGTCCTGGGAGTAATCTGGGATGCGGGGCGGTGAGACAAAAAGGTGTGGCCGATTGTCTCTGACCCCCTCCCCAGCTGGCTCACGCCGCCGGTCGGTACCGGGATGGCTGTGGAGGCTGCAGCTCCCGGGGTGGCCGTGGAGGCTGCAGCGGTCCTGTCACGGTTCTTTCTGATCTCGCTTTGATGCAAAAGGAGGGACCCAGGCACTTGGCTTTCTTAAGCCTACTGTGGCCCAGGGGGCGAGAGGTCACTGGATCCCTGATCCTCCTCCCCCGAGGGCACACACCTACCCCTCCCCCCCAATACACCTGGCCTCCCGCCCCCCACTCCTCCCCAGGGCACACACCTGCCCCCCTACCCCCAGGGCACACCCCCCCACCCCCTAGGCACACACCTGCCCCCCTCTCCCCAGGGCACACACTCCCCCCCCCTGCCCCCTAAGCACATACTTGTCCCCCCCCCCAACACAGACATACCTGGCCACCTGGGGGTGGTTTCGGATGGGCGGGGTGGGGCAGGGTGGGACGGGCGGGGCTGAGCAGTGAACTTTGTGTTGTCACATTGGTGTTCTCTTCCCTCCCCCCTCCCCCCCCCCCCAGTAAAAACCAACCCCTAAAGTTACAGGCTTTTGTCTTGCCCCTGGGCAGCATCGTAGTTGCTATAAATAGGCACCAGGGAGGAGTGTCTGAGTTCAAGGACAGAGGCGTTCACTGGCATGAAGGCCCAACCCTCCCCAGTGGTGGGGAAACAGGTAACCTGCCCCCCTTCTTGGGTGTCCACCCGGAGGAGCACGGGGTGAGTGACAGGAGGAGAAACCAGCAAGCCCCCCCCCCCCATCACCTGACAGGGCGGGGGTGGCCGCTGTGACTCCTGACTGCTGCCACAGCCACGGCCACGGTGGGGATGAGTGGGGGCATTGCCTTCCCCAGTTGAAGGGCAGGGGCCAGGGACACACGGCTGCTCTCAGGGCTCCCCCGTGGCTGCTCTGATCCCTGGCTGGAGCTCCCCTGGCCTCGGGCTGTGGAATGCAGGTGAACCCTATCGCATCAGCTTCCCCCTTGGGGAGAGGGTCCCAGTTTTCTGCCACTTTAACCCGATTCTAAGTCAATCTGTTAGGCCCTCTCCTCTCCCCCTCCTCCTCCCCCTTATCCTCCTCCTCCCCCTCTCTTTCACCCTCTCCCCTCCTCCTCTCCCCCTCCCCCTTCCCCACCCCCCTCCTGTCTGGAGAACAGGTGCTCAGAAAAGTTCAGTGACCGAGCCCCAGGGCTCCTCCGGAGACGGCCTTCCTGAGGCATTCCCAGCCCATGGCGGGTGGCTGGAGCGACCACCCTCTGTCCTGCTGGCTTTACAGCAGTCCTCATCTGGCCGGGCTGGCGTGGCTCAGGGGTTGTGCGTCAACCTATAAACCAACAGGCCAGGGTTTGCCCTATAAACCAGGAGGTCAGGGTTCAGTTCCCGCCCAGGGCACACACCCAGGTTGTGCTCCATCCCCAGTGGGAGGTGGATGTGCAGCAGGCAGCTGATCCATGATTCCCTCTCATCATTGGTGTTTCTATCTCCTACCTCTCCCTCTCCCTTCCTCTCTGAAGTCAATAAAAATGTTTTTTTAAATAATAATAAGACTCTTATTTGAAAATGTTTGGATCTCAAACTTCTTAACTTGCATTTGAAGATAAGATTTTCTAGAGTTTTTTTTTTAAAAAACGCTACAGTTAAAATACTGCCAATGAGCGTGACGTTCTTTTGATGTGCCTGGAAATGGATATTGTAGAAATGAACATTTAGAAAATATGTAGATGAGATTAAATGTTCTTGGGGTGAGGACTAATTCAAAACAGCTCTTTGTAAGGAAAACTGAAGAGCCTCTGAGTTGGTTTTCAAGTTCCTTTTATTACTCACATGGCTGTGCATCGAGTGCGCGCCGGGGTTACAGGGTCCGGACACACACAGGTGCGCCGCCCTCTCCCGGCAGGACACGGCCCCTACTCCGACCAGAAATCAAGGTGAGCATCTACTTCCTCCTCAGAAGCAAGCGTGCCTACAATTCCTCTCTAAGCCAATAGCCAGCCTGCTTGGTGTAATCGTTTTACCCAGAGTTCTCATTCATTTTTTCCCACGTGAGGTATGGCGCCCGCACATAGCAGAGACCCATGCAGAGGTACATGGACTGGAGTGGTGCCCGTATGAAACTCAAAAACCGGACAAAACCGGAATAATCTTAGCGAACACGTCACACACACGCGGAGGCCAGACGTGTAGCCTCGAGCGGAGAAGCGGTGCGGGTCGGTCTGGCTGTCCTGCCCCCTGGGCTGTTAGTCCGCGGACACGGGCACTCCCCGCGGGGCCCCTGCCCGCAGTGAGAAGGTTCCTCCATGCGGTCTGCACCCAAGGAGGCTCCCTCCAGGTGCGGCTCTGCAGCGCAGGCTCTGGGGGCTCCCCACTGGCCCGCCCTCGGGGTACGAGGGCCTCAAACATCGCTGAGTGTGGGCGACCCGCCCCTGCCTTCTCAGTCCGCCGTGGGGGGGTGGCAGGGACACGTGCTTCTCAGAGTCACTCCTGCGAAGATGACTTAGCACATGGGCGTGTGGGAGGGGAGCGGGCACCCTCGCCGCCCAGCGTGTCCCTTCCTGGCATCGGGGGCAAGTCGGCAGCTCAGGACCCGGGCGCTTTGGTCTGCAGGCGCAGGGAGCTGGGGGCTGCGTTATAAGTTGCTTACGATGTCTGCCCGGCCCAGCTGGCTCAGTGGGCGAGCGCCGACCAGGACCCATGAGGTCACCGGGTTTGGATCCTGGTCAGGGCACGTGCCCGGGTTGCGGGCTTGACACCCAGCAGGGGGCATGCAGGGGACAGAAGATTGGTGATGTTTCTCTCTCTCTCCCTCTCCTTTCCTTCCTCTCTAAAGAACATTAAAAAAATAACAACAGAAAGTCCATTTTTTAAACACACGCATGCTTCTCTCCGTTGTGGGCAGTGAAAGCGTCAGTGACTTTATCGTGTGTGTCAGCGTGGGGCTGGAACTGGAGTGCGGACTCTGGGAGAAGCGGAAGCGGCCTCTACGACCGGGGAGAGAAAGCAGCACCATCAGACCTCCCTCAGCGCCGTTCCCGCCGCACCAGCCACGTCTCGGATCACCGCCGTCCGGGGCCACGCAGCCAGGACACGCGTTTCATGGGGGGAATCATGAGAATTGGCCGACACCGGCTAATCAATACTTCATGCCTTCTTTACAAGGACGCCATAGACACTCTGAGGGATCACTAATGACATAGTTTGAGACACTTAACATGGTATCAGGCTAAGATATGTAACAATTTAACCTCAGAGAACTTCCTCCTTTTCTCCACAAACGGAGAAGGCGGGCATCACCGCAGAGCGCACCGTGATCTCCTCACATCTGTCTTCTCCCACTTCCGGGTCCCTGTGCCCCCGAAAACACTTCACAGTTTTCTTCTGTGAGAGACTCCATCGAAGTGACGCGTCCAAGAGTGGAAACGTGAAACAAGCCGGCGCTTTTGGCTCCGGGGCCGAGGGTCAGGGCACAGGCCCGGGTTGGGGGCTGGATCCCCAGTGGGGCGTGCAGAAGGCAGCCCCTCAATGAGTCTCTCTCATCACTGATGTTTTGCTCTCTCTCCCCCTCTCCCATCCTCTCTGAATTCAATGAAAATATATGTTTAAAAAAGTAAAACAAAGCAAAATAATCATCTTAAACACCTAAGGAAGTTTCAGTGCTTGAAATGTTTTTGTTATGAATATTCTCACTCCTTGCTTCTGCTGGGAAGCACTCGGCGTGCCCTCTGGTGGGCGCTGTGGGCCGGGCAGAGAGGAGCGGGCGTGCTGACGGGCGGGCATGGGCCAGGGGACGGCGGGCAGCTGCCTGCCCCCTGGGGTCAGCCTCGGGCAGCTCAGCAGAGGAACTCGGCTTTCTCCAACTGGACGAATGGTCACACCTCCCTCCACACGTCCTCAATCCTCCAGCAGCTTCTCCTTCACGTCAGCCTCACTCCACTAACACGTAGCACAACCCTCGGACCTTCGGTGACCCAGGCAGTGCCCCCGGCGACCTCATTCTGTGCGGAAGCTCAGCCCCCGTTGAGAGGATGAGCAGCCAAACGCATCATGGACACACAAAGCTCACTCTGCTGGTGAGAGCTCCGGGTCAGACCGGTGAGGATGTGAATCCAGATCCCTCACCAGCGAGGGCACCGGAGCCCCGGACGCGCCTCTGCCTCAGGCCGCTGGCTTTAAGGGGATTAAACCCCCTCACCTAGACCTTCCTGCTCCCCACACCTCACACGTCCCCCTCAAACGCCCTCTGTGCCGTGCAGCTGTCTCACCCTCAGGCAGCGTGTGACCGTTTCCCTCTCTTTCTGAGAATGCCGATGTGGCAGCTCCACAAAATAACCTAATTTTATGACGTTTTTTTTAAATGTTCCTGGGGATGCTTAAAACAACCCCAAGGGGCCCGTGTTCGGTGCAGTCATCCCTGCCTCGCTGATGGTACCCTCCCACCGCCCCGTCCGCGGTGCTGCTGCCGTGGGCGGGCCGTGTCCCCGCTCCTCCCCGGACCCGGCCTTAGAGGAAACTGCCCTTCGCGGTGCCCGAGCGGGCGCTGGTTGCCAGGCTACCCCCACCGGTGGGAGAAGTGGGGTTCACGTTGTGAGTTAGACACCAGCCGGCTTGTCCACGCAGAGAAGGGACTTTTTTCTCCAGAGAAGTTCTGTGTCTGTCAGCAGACACGGGCATGATCTGTGCTCACGCGTGTGCGTGCATACACACCCCTCAAGTGACTTCCGAGAACATGCTACGACCAAAGTGAATCTAAAGCTACTGCAGGGGTCTTGTGTCCTGTGAGGGAGATGGCTAAAAGCCACCGGCACGGGGCCCTCCACCCGCCTCCCGCCTCAGGTGGGGCGTCTCCAGCCCCTGGGGCGGGGGTTGTAGTTGCCCTCTGCTGCCGAGAGGCAGTACTCGGACCTGGTCTCCAGGAACATCATCTGAGGATCATCCCGGGAAGGCTGCCTGTAGGAGGCGTGCAGCCACTGGGAGAGGGTGGGGAGGCTGCTGTTGGGGAGGGGCGCCCCGTGATACCCTGGCCTCCCGCACGGGCCCAGGCTGGCGGTGGGGGCCTGCTGGGCGCGGGGCAGCCCGTCGCCCCAGCCCCCCACGGGCGCCGGGAGCACCTTCCTGCGAGCGGCCCAGACCACGCTGGCCACGACGGAGGCCCGGATGTCGCTGGGTGGGAAGGCGTCCTCCAGGAGGCCCAGAGGCGGCTCGGCGGCTGCTTCCCAGGGGGCGAGTCTCCAGTCGGGCGAGGCGGGGTGGCGGTGAGCAGGCGGGCCGGCCCAGGCTGGTGTCGGAGACGCGGGGGGTGGGACGGGCCTTCCCGGGAGAGACAGTGAGCGTCCACCCTCCTAGAAGCAAGGACAGGGTTAGGGTCTGGTCCACGGTGGTTCTGCCGCCGGCTGCTGCGCTGGGAGCTGGTGAAAGGTGACCAGACGTCCCGCTTTTGGTGGGACAGTCCTGATGTTTTCCAAAAGATTCTTTCCAAAAATCGGGACTTTTTAAAACTCTGTGAGATGCGGGACAAATTGTTAAAAATCAAAACTTCTGGTCACCTTGTGCTAGTGAGCCGTGCCCACGCCCTGTACAAGCCGGTCCCTGGAGCCCAGGCCGGGCCAGCCACCGAGGCGTGTGCAGGGCTCTGGGCCAGATCAGACTCAGCCTCCTGTCGCTCCCATCCCTGAGCCTGTAGCTCCAAGGCTTTCAAGTCTCCTGGGCGTGACCCCCTGTCATCCTGGGAGCCCCCAGCCTTGTCTGACGGTTCTGCCGTCCACACTTGTCTGCCCCCCACACTCACCTCTCATGCGCTGCCCATCGCCCTGCGGCCTGTGCCCCCGTACAGAATGCATAGGACACACCTACCCCTCAAGCAGACCGTGGCCCCGGCCCCTGACTTCCCTCCAGTGACTGGGAATCTGCATCTCGCCGTAGCCCTCCCTGCAGCAGGGACAGGCGTGAGGGCAGAGACGTGCGAACGCCACTCTCAGTGAAGGCAGACCTCTCCTCCGGACCAGCTGTGCTGGGGCGGGGGGGGGGGGGGGCGGGGGGGCGCGGAGCCTGGGGTCTCATTCCTGAGCGTGGGGCGACCATGTCTCTGGCCAGTGCTCCCCCCACCCGCCCCCATACTTGTTTCTCGGACAGTTGGTGTCCCTGAGACCCTCCCCGTTGTGAGGATGCTCCCTGTCTCACCGGGCACAGGGGGCTGGAAAGCTGGGCCCTGCCTGCACTCCTCACACCGCCCCCCCTCTGTCCCCCCTCCCCCCGGGTGCTGCAGGCCAGGCTGGTGGAGCAGCAGGCGCCTTGGGCACGGGGCACCCTCACGGCCCACAGCACCCCGTCCGGGACCAGGAGCGTTGCCTGGCTGGTGAGTGTGCTCAAATTCCATGGACGTTTTTGGTTCTGTTTTCACTATATTGTTATTGATCTCAGAGAGGGAAGGGAGAGAGAGAAAGAAACGTCAGTGAGGAGAGAGAATCATTGATCACCTGCCTCCTGCATGCCCCTGCTGGGGATCCATCCCTCAACCTGGGCCTGTGCCCTTGATCAGAACCCGTGACCCTTCAGAACACAGGCCGAAGCTCGGTCCATGGAGCCAAACCAGTGAGGGCCGGTGAATGGTTTTAAAGGGTTTTCTTTCTCAGTCATGTTATTAACTTTAAAGTGAATAGCACGCCTGAGCCGGACAGGTCATCTCTGATCCGGTGTTCTGTGTCTGCTTTTCCCGCTGGGCACACGAACGGAGACGGCTCACTCTGGGCTCACGCAGAGGAATGGGGGTCCACAGGACGGGTGTGGCTTCTCTCTTCAGTCATTGAAATGCCAGTAATAATGGTTGAATCCAGCAAAATCCTCATGTAACCTGTGATAAGTCTTCCCTCTGTCAGGGTGGACGGGCCAAGCTCGGTGTCAGTCATCACCGTGGGCGGGCTGGTTTCCATGTCCCATTGCCCACACGTTGGCATCATGGCTCACTCGGCATGTGTTTTATTGAGCACCTACTATCCCGGAGGTCCTCGCCCTCACACCCCCTCTTAGCTCCTCTGTGGCAGCCCAGCCACAGGCCGGCCAGAGGAGGGACTCTCCGCCCAGTGGGACGGGACCAGGAGGGACTGTCTGAACCGCGAGACGCACTGGCGTTGGGCCTGGCGAAGAGAAAGGCAGCTTTCCCCTCTGTCATGGCGTGTGGGACGCCTCCCTTCTGTCTATTCATCCATCCGTCTGTCCGATGATGGACAGCACTGGTCGGCAGGTCCCCAGCACCCAGCAATCCTCCTCCCTTTCTCTCCGGAGAGGACACCTGGGGTCCGAGCACCTCAGAGACTTGAGGGGTGATGCTAAAGCGACCTGAGACCACGCAAACGCAGGCGGGGCTCCTGAGAGCACGCCTGGGCTGGCATCGCTGCTACTAACCGGAGAGCATGACTGCTGCCCCTCGGGAGGGCTCAGAGCATGAGCATCGGACGAAAGACCTGCCCACCCTGACCTGCCCACCCTGACCTGCTGCTTCAGCGGCATCAGAGCGGAGACTCAGAAATGAGCACGTTCAGCCCGGGGTTGAATGACGTCCTGACAACAAGGAGCTCAGAGATTCTTTGCAGCGAAGGCTGCCTCCCGTGTGCGCCCCGAGCGGCCAGGGAACCCACAGCCTGTTGGGGTACCGGCGGCACTCCAGCCCCCGAGTCGCCCGCCCGAGGCTCCCTGCCCCTCTGATCTGCCTGCGCGGGCCTCTTTCCTGCCACGACCTCACCGGGCACTCGGTGCCCCAGGACCTTGGCACCTGCTGCCCCTGCCCCTCCCGGCACCAGCACCCACGGCTCCGCTGCCTCCCTCAGGCCTCACTCACACCACGTGGCCGCACTGGGCCAGTCTCTCCGTCTCTCAGCATCCCGTCCCTCCTCGCTGCCTGATTTCTCCCCAGGTGCATGGCCACCTAAAGGGATACACGTTTTACTTCGTTAATTTGCTTACTGCCTCTTCCTCCCGGAATCTAGCTCCGGCTAAGACGCCCTCAGGCCTGGGCAGGGCCCGGCGGGCAGGTGTGCGGTGTCTGCTGCGGAAGAACCGGGCGGCGGGCGGCTTCCCGCGATGAGGGGTCACGCCGGCTGCCCAGCCCTTCCCCCGGTCCGTGGTGTGCGGTGCGGCTCGCAGACTCTGCCCACCCTCACCCGCAGCACACACGCACCAAACCACGTGCCAGGCAAGTCTGGCGAGACCAGTAGGACGAAGCAACACTTGCCAAGGAATCGGTTTTCTAAACGGGCAGGTTTCCGCGTGGAGAGAGAAGGTTTGCCCTTCGGTCTGCGGGACTGAGGGGCTTAAACCGCCTTGAGAAAAGTCTCAGGCAAACTCTCCGTGGAGATTTGAATTCCTTTATCGAGATTGTTAAATATCGGGCAAACGTTCCCTGGGGGTTACTTAGACACAATCAAGCAGGGGACGGGTGTCAGGAGAATTTTTTGATCATTTTTGTTCTGGTCTTTTAATAAAACAGCCTCTACCTCATGTTCCCTGGGATCTGCCTTCTCCTCTGCCACGTGGAGTTTGGGGAGGTTCTGTGGCAGCGCTCTTGTCTAAGCCGGGACTGCCCGCCGGTGTGGCTGGTGGTTGAGAATCCACCTATGAGCCAGGAGGTCCCAGTTCAGTGCCTGGTCAGGCACATGCCTGGGTTTTGGGCTCCATCCCCAGTAGGGGATGTGTAAGAGGCAGCCAATCCATGATTCTCTGTCATCATTGATGTTTCTATCTCTCTCTCCCTCCCCCTTCCTCTCTGAAATCAATAAAAACACATTTAAAAAATAAAGATAAGAAAACAAAGAGGGGACTGCCTATTGCTGCTGGCCGAGGACCACTATGGACGCAGGACTCTGAGCCATGTTACTGAGAACACGGGCAGCACGGGAGCACACGCTGCTTAAACGGCCCGAGAACACAGTCCGCACGCCAGGCGGGGGCGAGGCCGGCTGGTGGCCACGGCTGCTCGCCCGACTCCCTCGACCCCTGCATCTTAATTCCTGTGAGGTTCACTTTCACATTACATTGTCAGTCCTAAGTCAATTCGATTTTTAACAAATACATTTGAACTGATTTCAGGGAGGAAGGGAGAGAGGGAGAGACAGAAACATCAGTGATGAGAGCGAATCATGGATCGGCTGCCTCCTGCCATGTCCCCTCCTGGGAACGGAGCCCGAAACCCAGGCCTGTGCCAGACCAGGAGCGGAAGTGTGACCTCCTGGTTCATAGGTCGACGTTCAACCACGAGCCACCCCGGCCGGGCTCAGTTCACTTTTAAAAAGTATTTGAGGGGAGCCCTGTGAGAGAAAGGGTCTGGGTGTGAGGTGGCGTCCTTGGACATCACGTGACCGGGGGCATTGCCCTGACCCGGGGGTGCTGCCTGGCCCCCCGGGGCCTCGCCCTCCGGCTGTGCGGGCAGTCAGCGGGCTCCCCTCCGATGGGGAGGACGGACAGGCGTGTACGTGACCCCCAGGGCGCCAGGACGGGACTGTTCTGTCACGTGCGGAGTCAGAGGCCCGGGGGACCTTTGTTCAGGAGGCAGCTCGGCGGGCCGCCCACGGATAAAAATAGGAGGGGCCCTGCTTTGGAGTGGGGCTGGCACCGCGGGCAGCCAGATAGCGGCGGTGCCACCAGTGCCGGCCAGGCAGGGCTGGCCAGAACCATCGCTGACCTCACTCTGCGGCTCCGGGCAGCCCAGACACAGCTTCCTCCTGTCCTTGAACCTGCGGCCCAGACATCACAAAAATAACCGGCATCTGAGGTCAGGGGACGGTCGAGGGCCTCCGCACGCATGCGTCTGGGTCCCTGTCATCTCAGAGGCCAGGGCAGCAGTAAAACGCACAGCTTTCACCCCCTGCGGCTTCGGTCTGAGCACTTCTTCCCGGTCAATCCCCTCCGGGTCAGCCCCCTTACAGCCTCCACGCCCTGCCCCACGTGCGGAGACTGAGGGCGGCCAGTAGTAATGACCAGGCCACACAGCGAGGCCGTGTTTGCACAGGGAGCTGAGGCATCGAAGCCACAGAGGACAGGACTGTATCTAAATAGCGTACGTTAAGGCATCAGATCTGCTAGGTGAGAGAAGTCACCCAGCAGCCACGCCGCCCTCCTCCTCACAAAGGAGGTGCCGGACGTTCACGGCCGCTCCAGGTCTTCGCTGGGACCGCAGTGAGGTGGTCTGCAATCTGGGAAAAGCCCCCCTTCAGTACACTCCTTGTAAATGTCTACTTTACTCGGTTAGAACATAAAAATAAAACTTTTTAATCACGTTTCTCTCTAAAAGGTCGCTGGGATCCACCACAGGAAAGAAAAACAGATGTCAGGAGTTCTAGCTTCATCAGTT